AGTCCTCTTTGGGGGCCTTTCGAGCCTTCTTGGGTTATCTTGGCGCCATATTGGGTCATCTTGCTGCCATCGTGGGCTGCCCGGGTGTCCTCCTGAACGTCTTGGAGGCATCTTGGAGCCCATTTTCAGCCATCTTGGCCGTCTGGGAGCGGGACGGCCGACGATTTGGGAAGTTCAAGGTCCTCATGTGGCGCTTGCAAGTTGGGCCAAGACCCCATTCCACACGTTACCCCCCCCCCCCCCCCAAAAAAAAAAAACGAGAAGTACGGCAGTAGGAATCTTTTGGGAGGTGTCTCGGACGTACCGATTTTGGTGGTGTCTCGGGGCCTCCTGGGGCCTCATTTGGATCTCTTGCGGGCCTCCTGGGGCTTCTGGGGGGCGGTTTGGGGCCTGCTGGAGGTCTCGGAGGCCCGTCGCCAGAGGACGCGACATGACAATTTGAGTTCCCCTTCTTGGGGTCTCGGGCCGTTTGGGATGTCGTTTGCATCGTCTTGAGCCTCTTGTTGCTGTCTGGGGGCTGTCTTGTGGGCCTCTTGGGCCGTCTGAGAGCGATCTTGGAGGCCTCTTGGTTCGTCTTGGACCGTCGGATGCCCGACAAGGCGAGAAAGCTAAGATCTTTCAAAACATACATATGAAATCAATGGTTGGCCTCTTGGGGGGCCCTCGTGGGGGACCTCTTGGAGCCCTCTTTGGGTGTCGTGGGAACCCCTCTGGGCCGTCTGGAGAGCATCGAAGGCAGTCGTGGTGCCTTTTGGGGCCGTCTTTGAGCGCTCTTGGACCCTCTGGGGCGCTTTTCAAGAAATATTGAGTATGCTTCGGATCGTTTCAGGCAAAGTCCCCGTCCTGGAGACCGACGCGACACATCCCAGGAGCGCTCAAGAGCGCCCTCCGTAGCCATGTTGGCTCAACCCTCGAGCCTCTGGCCCAAGCCGTGCTGGTTGAAAGCAAGGGAGCGCATTGTCAAGTTCAGCTTTTTGCTCCTTGACAATCCCTTCCAAAAACACGCACAATGATTGCCAGCGCGGTAGGTGCTCCGACGTGTGGGGTTCCGGTTGGTGTCAGATCTGACAATTCCCTGGATTCAGAGGCGCAGGTGCGAAGCACTGTGGCGCCCCACAGAGAAAAGCGGAGTATTGTCTTACCAATGTTCGCGGTTACATGGCTGTTCGCGAGTTCGTTATTTTCAATAGGAATGCGCTTTGGCGTCGGAGGAGGATTGGCACAGCTACCTCCGACAGGACGTTACACAAGCTGCAACACCATTATCAGCAGACTCACGCTTTTACCTCGGCGGCGGTCACGCGCCCAGCGTCCTGGCGGTCGCAGCAGGTGAGAAATTGCAGCAAGCGGAGCTGAAAGAGGAACCAGGAGAATGGCAGCCAGGTTGGCAACAGCGACGTTCAACAGACACACGTACATCATTATCCACCGACGCTTTCACACAGAGGGTTAGCTCGATAGCGGTTTATGTGCAGTTGGCCAATACAACGATTTGGGAAGATGTCCGACAGTGCGTGTCAAACGTCTTGGAGGCCCGCGACGGCCGAAAGATTCTGGGGCTAACGCCACACCGCCGACCCCTTGGGGAATTGGCTTGTGTTGCGCGTTGCTCCTGAGAGTTTCCTGCGCGCCTTTGGGGGGCTTCTTGGAGCTCTTTTTTAGGGCTTCATGGAGGCCCCTTAGGGGCCTTTTCGGAGCCTCTTGGGCTGACATCCTCAGCATTTGCCGTGCACACACGGGGAAATGGGCGAGAACCCACGTATACAGAAGGAGGGCATCTGTCAAAACACCCGGCGAATGATTATCGAATGGCCTTCGGTTCTCGCCACCGCGCTTGCGGTCTGAGGCCACTCGGATGAGGCGTCTCGGGGGCGTCTTGGAGGCAGTTACCCAAACCTCCTGCGTTGGGTACTCGTTTTGAATCGAACGCAGCCCGCGGGTCTTCACTTCCCCCCGCCCCCACCATCGCTCCTTCCTGCGTGCCAGCTTGCCTCCTACCTGGCCATCCCTCGGGGGCTGCGATCTGCGAAACTGTCGCCAATTTCGAGGGCTGCTGGGGGTCCAGCGGGGTGAAATCTTACCCAAATGCAAATGAGACCTCGCCACCCCTTGGGGGCTGCGATCTGCGAAAAATCGCCACTTTCGAGAGCTCCTAGGGGGTCAAGCGGATTGACGTCTTACCCAGGCCACCACGAGACCTCGCCATCCCTATGGGGCTGCGATCTGCGAAACTGTCGCCACTTTCGAGGGCTGCTGGGGGGTCCAGCGGAATGACGTCTTACCCTGACCACCACGAGACCTCCCCATCCTTGTGGGGCTGCGATCTACGAAACAATAGTCGCCGCTTTCGAGGGCTTCTCGGGGGTCCAGCGAACTGACGTAATTAGTACCCAGACCACCAGGAGACCTCGCCATCGCTGTGGGGTTGCGATCGAAGACATTGTCGCCACTTTCGCGGGCTGCCTGGGGGCCCAGCGGAGTGACGTCTTACGCGGACCACCAGGAGACCTCGCCATCCCTGTTGGGCTGCTATCTGCGAAATTGTCGCCATTTTCGAGGGCTGCCGGGGGGCCCAGCGGAGTGACGTCTTACCCAGATTCCGATGAGACCTCGCCATCCCTGTGGGGCTGCGATTTGCGAAACTGTCGCCACTTTCGAGGGCTGCCGGGGGGCCCAGCGGAGCGACGTCTTATTCGGACCCCCAGGAAACCTCGCCATCTTTGTGGGGCTGCGATCTGCAAAAATTGTCGCCACTTTCGAGGGTTGCTGTGGCGTCCAGCGGAGTGACGTCTTACGCGGACCACCAGGAGACCTCGCCATCCTTGTGTGGCTGCAACATACGAAAAAACTGTCGCCACTTTCGAGGGCTGCTGGGGGGTCCAGCGGAGTGAAATCCTACCCAAATTCAGATGAGACCTCGCCATCCATGTGGGGCTGCGATCTGCGAAAAAACTGTCGCCACTTTCGAGGGCTGCCTGGGGGCCCAGCGGAGTGACGTCTTACCCAGATTATGATGAGACCTCGCCTGTCCTCAGGGGCTGCGATCTGCGAAACTGTCGCCACTTTCGAGAGCTGCTTTAGGGTCCAGCGGAGTGACGTCTTACGCGGACCACCAGGAGACCTCGCCATCGCTGTGGGGCTGCAATTTGCGAAACTATCACACTTTCGAGAGCTGCTGTGGGGTCCAGTGGAGTGACGTCTAACGCGGACCACCGGGAGGCCTCGCCATCCTTGGGGTCCGGCGGAGTGACGCCTTTTTTTGTTACGAGTTTTGGGGTCGTCAGAGTCCAGGCAAGGGTGCAGGGATAGATTTTGAGGGGTCCTGAGGCTGCGCAGGAGGAAAGGCGGAGGAGGAGGAGGCGGAGGAGGAGGAAGGAGAAGACAAGGTGGGGGAGGAGGAGGAGGAGGAGGAGGAGGAGGAGGAGGAGGAGGAGGAGGAGGAGGAGGAGCATGAACGGGGGAAGGAGGTCCGGCACGTGCTGCCGCAGCCGCGCCAGCACGGTTCTTGCACGAATAATAAGCATGTTGAATATGTTGTTCGAGCGCCCCGGCGATATGGCGCAGACAGCGCTGCATCTTTCGCGTACTACCGACAAAAAAGCAACACTCTTCGGCCTCCTCCCGCCACTGTCGTCGTCCTCCTCCTTTGCCTCCTGCCACCTTCCCTCTGATGATGCCGCGCTAGCGGTTCGGCCCCCCACGCGTCCTTTTCTTGCCCTTCGTTCCCGCCTCCATGTCCGCGCGAGCGCTTCCCATGTAGCTCGCACAACACATAACGGCGCCTACGGTGTCATTATCCTGGCAAGTTTAAGCCAAGTCCTCTTGTCACTTAGTACACATGGGTTACATACATCCTAAGGTAACGGGCACACTTGGGGAAATCGGCGAGAACCCACGTATACAGAAGGAGGGCGTCTGTCAAAACACCCGGCGAATGATTATCGAATGGCCTTCGGCACATCCCGCCACCGCGCTTGGGTTGCAGGTCTGAGGCCAATCGGATGGCTGATGGGGTGTCGTGGGAGGCGTTTCGGGAGCGTTTTGGGGGCAGTGTTTGAACCTTTGGGGGGCCTCTTGGGGGTTTGCTGCGGCCATCTGGGGCTCCCTGGGGGCCTGTTGGGGGCTCCCTGGGGCAACCCGGAGGCGTCTTGGGGTGGATGACTCGAAATGTCCGTTCGGGTTCCCAATAGGTGCCCCCTCTTGTCTTGGGGGCCACTTGGGCCGTCTGGAGGCCAGCGCGGGCGTTTTGGATCGATCTTTCAGCGACTCGTGGCCCTCTTGGACCGCCCCAAGGGCTTCTTGGGGCCCCCTTGACCTGTTTTGGAGCCCCCTTCCCCCCCCAGATGCGTTCACCCGGATCCCGGGGGACCCCCCCCTCCGAATCGACCAGACTTGGTTCTTGGGGGAGGGGTTTGGGAAGGGGGAAACATTTCACACGCCGATGAACCCTAAGGGGTCAGCGGATTGATGTCTATCTTGGGTTGATCGAGGCCGACTCACACGTTGAGGTTGACGCTGCAAACCTCATCCACAAGCTTTCTCATGCCAGCCTGGCAGAGAATGGCTCGCAGCCCAATCTCTTCGTTGAGAAGTTAGAGAACAAAGGCGCCGATATTGGATTGTTCCTGCAGCAAATGCTGCGAATGAGTAAACCTTCGAGACATGAGTACGACCTGCTGCTCAAGATCCACAGCAAAAGCAATCCCAATTGGCGTTCCCGGATGTTTACCTGTCTGTGTGGCAGCGCGGATCGGGTCCGAGCCGTTATAAAGCAGTTCGAGCAGCAACGGGATGTGGGCATGGTGGGCCCCCCTTTGTTGACATTATCTTGGAATAACCATCGTTCTGCTTTCAAGCGTCACGAGCCAAACATGAACGACACATGGACGTTTGCCTTCCTTGGCGAGCCGTTTCCATCCCGCAGCAATTACGCGATGATCGGAGGAACATGTTTTTGGGCTCGAGCGCCGCCGATTCTTCAAGACGAGAAGCTTCAGAATGCGACGGTGGAGTTCATGCGTAAGTGGACCATTGGCTATGTCCACGAATGCCAGACGCAGACATGCGTAGACGCCTACGCATTGGAGAAACTCATCCCAACACGCTTCCAAGCAACATACGGCTTGCATGTACGGGAGACGCTCGAACAACCTGGGCAGAGCAAGGGCAAACGCTAGGCGGCCTTGGTTAGGTGGTGGCGCTGGGCGGTTGTTGCTTTGACGGGCGGCACGTCCTATGAGGAAAACCTCCCCACAGCGATCATTCACCAGCGCAGGACTCAAATCACCAACGGGACCACGGCATGGGTCTCTTCGCCGCGGCGGCGGGGGGCGGGGCAGGCCTTGACGGGCGCCTCGGCAGGGGCCTTCGCCCAAGCGAGAGGCCCGCCCGAAACGCCCGAAGCCCGCCTGAGCTTCTGCTTCTGCGCGTCCTTGGAGCTGGACTGGCGCACCGCACCCAGCTGCATCACGGCGCCGCAGGACACGGAGCATGTGGTTTGCAGCAGCTTCGGCGACGCACCGCGGATAAGCTTCAACAACCAGGGGTCACGAGAGCCAGAAGTGTCTTGCCATCGTTGCTTCCCCCCATCCCTTCTCTTCTCTTCCCCATTCATCCCCTCCCCCGTTGCCGCTTTGGGCGTGGTTCGCACCTTCCCGCTCTGCACGGCAGGCCTCCGCGCGCAGCTCTCTGACGGCTTTGAGTGGATCGGCACCGATTGCTAACTTGTTGTCGTCGGCCCGATATCATCATCTGGGGGGGGGGGCAACAACAGAAAAAAACGCCCAAGAGCGCGTAGCGATGGGGCTGGTGCCTTCGTAAGCAGGTGCCTTCGTAAGATGCCTTAGAATCCACCAAACTCAGTCACCTGCTTGAGCCTTGAAGCACTCCACTTCGTGCCGAAGGAACAGTGGCGGATAACAGGGAGCGCCTCCGGCGTGCACCGTTGGTTCTGGGGCTGACTTTTCTTTCTCTAACTAAAGGGTACGGATTCCATCCCAGAATTCGCTGGCGGATGACGGGCAGCGTCTTCGGGGTCCGAGAAGTGAGTTGGACGTTGTGGCTGAAATCCTATATGTACGAAGTTATCGAAGATCCGCGCGCGCGCCACGAAACATGGGGCGGCGTATGACGGGGAAGCGCGTTTAGACTCGAACAGTCGCGCAATGGACGTTGCTTCTGGGCCCAGAGGGGAATATATTTGTCAAGTGGGGGTGTCCAGGGGCGGAGCAGCGGCGGGGTCAAGCCTCCACAGGGACGCGGCGGATGACGGGAAGCGCGCTTAGATTCGACGAGTCGCGCGATGGACGTGTGTTTGGGGCCCGGAGCCTCCTCCTCCTCCTCCTCCTCCTCCTCCTTCTCCTCCTCCTCCCTCCTCCTCCCTCCTCCTCCTCCTCCTCCCCCTCCTCATCCTCCTCGTCCTCCTCCTCCCTCCTCCTCCTCCTCCTCCTCCCTCCTCCTCCTCCTCCTCCTCCTCCTCCTCCTTCTCCTCCCCCTCCTCCTCCTCGTTGTCGGTATCCTCCTGTTTTTCCTCCTTTGCCTCCTCTTCATCCTCCTCCTCCTCCTGCTCCTCCTGTTCTTTCTCCTTCTCCTCGTCCTCTTCTTCCCCTTCTCCCGTTCTTCCTCCTCCTCCTTTCTCCTTCTCGTCGTCCTTTTTTTCCCCCTCCTCCTGCTCCTGTTTCTCCTCTTCCTCGTCCTCATCCCCTTCCCTTCCTCCTGCAGGGAGTGCTCTTAGAGGCTTACTGGGGCGTCGTGGAGGCCTCCTTGGCAATCCGGAGGGCGTGAAGGCGTTTTGGACCGATCGTTTGGCGATTAGGGGCCGTTTGGGACCGCCTCGGGAGCCTCTTGGGGTATTCTTGGCCTGTCTTAGTATTGCGAAGGCCTTACGGTCGTTGCCGCCGATCCTGAGAGCGACGAAGATGAAAACGAGGGGGGGGAAGGTGGAGGAGGTGAATGAGAGAGGAGGAGGAGGGAGAAGGATGTGGAGAAGAAGCAAGAGGAGGAGAAGGAGGCAGAGGAGAGCAGGAGGAGGGGGAGCAGAGGGGGGGAGGAGGAGGGGGAGGAGGAGGAGGAAGAGGAGGAGGCCAGAGGCTTTCTTGGGACAGCCTGTGGCTCTCCTGAGGCCGTCTTGGGCCGTCCAGGGCTCCTCTTGCGCCGTCTCGAGGCACTCTTGGAGGCCTCCTGGGCAATTTGGGGCTCTCCTGGGCTGTCTTGGGGCAGTTTGGGGGCCCCTTGGGAGCATCTTGGGGCCTCTTGGGGCTTCTTCGGGGCCTCTTGGAGGCCTCTTGGGACTGAGAGCTCGAAATGTCCGTTCGGGTCCCCCGTCTGGGCACTCCCCTGGAGCCATCTTGGGGGCCTCTTGGGCCGTCTTGGAGGGGTCTTGGGCTGTTTTGGGGCCCTCTTCGGCCGTTAGGGGACCCTCTTGGGGGCCTCTTGGGCCATCTCGGGGCGATCTTGGAGGCCTCTTGGGCGGTTTTGGCGCGTCGGGAAGCCGAAGAGGCAAGAACGCCAAAATCTCTCAAAAACGTATGGGAACTCCATGAATGTTGCCTCTTGGGGCTCTCTGGGAAAGCTCCTGGAGGCCTCTTAGGGGCGCTTTGCAGGCCTCTTGGGCCGTCTGGAGACCGTCAAGGCGTCTTGGACAGATCTTTCGGCGATTCGGGGTTCTCTTGGACTGTCTTTGGGGCCTCTTGGGGCACTCTTCACTCTTGGCCCGTCTTGGGGATTTTGGGGCTCCGGGACTCCCAGGGGGGCGTCGTATCTGACGCCCCCCCCGGGGCGTCTGCCCCCCCCCCACACCCCCACACCCCCCACCCCCCCCCGGCGGGGGAGGGATCGAAGGGAAGGGGCTTCCTCTCGACTCAATTACGACGTTACTTATTTTCGCTTTGGTTGGCGCGCTGAGGAGGTCCCTGGGAAAGGGGAGAGCTTCGACAAGCCCGGGGAAAGGGGGGAGGCAGGGAAAGGAGAGGACAGAGACAATGACCAACGAATGACGGAGATGACGACTTGAACGGACAAGCCCCTCACACACGCCGACAGGGTCGGCGGATTTTCTAAGGCTCCAGGAACCCCAGGAGTTTATGCGCATCTGACCCCCCCGAGACCTCCCCCCTTAACCCCTCACCCCGGCGGGGGAGGGATCGAAGGGAAGGGGCTTCCCTTCGATTCAATTACGACGTTACTTATTTTCGCTTTGGCTGGCGCGCTGAGGAGGTCCCTGGGAAAGGGGGGAGCTTCGACAAGCCCGGGGAAAGGGGGGAGGCAGGGAAAGGGGACGACAGAGACGACGACCAACGAATGACGGAGATGGCGACTTGAACGGACAAGCCCCTCACACACGCCGACAGGGTCGGCGGATTTTCTCAGGCTCCAGGAACCCCAGGGGTTTATGCGCATCTGACCCCCCCCCGAGACCTCCCCCCTTAACCCCCCCCCGACGGGGGAGGGATCGTAGGGAAGGGCCTTCCCTTCGACTCGATTGGATATTGCTAGATTTTCTCTCACTGACAAGCTAAGCTGAGGAGGGCGCAGGGAAACGGGACGTCGGAGACGACGACTGACGGAGACGACGATTCGAACAGACAAGCCCTTCACACACGCCGACAGGGTCGGCGGATTTTTCATTCCGCGGCCTCAGAGGTCCGGACCCCTTCCTTCCCTGGGGTCAGTTTTTCGTGCCCGATGGCCCCGTGCCTTAGAACGGGCTCTGGAGGCTGGAATCGAGGAACATTGCCGGGACTGAAAAAAACACATCGTCGGAGATTTTGACCTATCGGGCGAGGCGGGCGGGCGGGGCACTGGAGCGGGCGGGCGGGCTTCCCGAGCGGGGGAGCAAGGGCACGCTCCCGCCGCAGCAGTTTCCTTTGTTCGCAGTCTTCCCCATCGAGCCAGGACTGCTGCGGCGAGCTGCTCTGAGCTCTTGGCGCCCAGCCAAAGTTCTTAGAGCCCGAGCAGCAGCATCTTCAATCGGAAACAGGTTACCACAGCCCCAGACGCCCAGCGGCAGCGCGCCCCTGGGCAACCGAGGTCGCGGGCGGGCGGCCGCGGCGGCGGCGGAGGGCCGCGCCGCGCAGGTGTGCGCTCGGGCTGGCAGCTGAAGGCCCGTACGCGGTCGGCGCGGGTGCTCGTCCTCCCTCGGCTTTCCTCTTACGCTTGCTCTTCCTCCCCCACCCCCTCCTTCCTGCATCCCTCCCTCCCGCGTCCTCCTCCTCTCGTCCTCCCTCCCACCCTCCCTCCCTCCCTCCCTTCCCTCCTCCCTCCTGCGGGAGCCACTTAGGGGGTGGCGCACTGGCGACCTTTCTGACCAGCTAGATGATATAGAATCCGGTCAATTCAATCCAGGCTGAGGTGGACGCCCGTATCTCCGAGGAGTTTGCGGAGGCCCGCAAGAGATGGAGGTCCTGGGCCCAGCATTCGGTCGCGTCGGGAGGTCGTGTCGCGCATCGCTACTCGAAGGGCCCCAGCGATCCACCCACGGGGCTTCTGAACGATCTCGAAGCTGAGTTCCCCGTCCCACTTGCGGGACAGGATGCCCTCGAGCAAGTTTTCAAGGGGGACTGGGCCTCCACCTGGTGCCAGCAGCCTGGCGAGGAGGAGGCGCACCCTCGGCATCGGGAAGCTGGCGGAGGAGAGGACACGGACGGTTTGCCGCCCATCACGGCACAAGATGGGGCGTTCCAAAAAGGGCTTTTTGCCTTCGAGGGTCGAAGGAGTTGCCATCTCTTCCGCGGCGGAAGGCGGCGGAAGTAAAACGGCGGCTGGCAGCACAGCCTGCCCAGGACCAGCGTGGCGGCATGTAGGGCTGTGCCCGGACCCCCTCTAGGCAAACGGCGGTGGCTCCGCCGGCGGGAGCAAAAGTCGACCTCTCTAGAGATGAAAGCGTTTTTGAGTTCAAGGTTTCCAGACTCCGCCGATGTGTTCGGTGCTGCTCGCATGTTCCCGCCTTCGACGGGGCCTAGATGGTACGTTTTCCACCCTCGGCTTTTGTTGCAGCCCCCTTCTGGCCTCACTGAGGCCTTCGCCGACATTTTGAGCCGGTGGGAAGCCAACCCTCACACGGGACAGATGTGGCCAACCTTGGTCGCCTTTCTCGAGAAAGCGTCAGGAGGGGTGGTGCTTGTAGGGTTGCTCCCCTTGTGGGCGCGAGTCTGGCGCAGGATGCGTCACAGGGCCTGCGCCAAGCGGGAGAAGTCGCCAGAAGCGAATTTGTTCTGGGGCAGAGGCACCAGCACGGCCTGCGACGTAGGCGCGTAAGTGCACAACGCCCTCACGGCGTACGCCAGGTCCAAAGGATTAGTTTCGTGCGCATGAATTCTAGATTTGAAGCGCTTCTATGAAAAAAATGTCGCACGCGGAGTCGAGGGAGGCCGCCATCCACACCAAGTTCCCACTCAGGCTCCTCAGGGCTCTCTGCTGCCTCTACAGAGCCCCCAGGCGTATCTCCTGGCAGAGGGCCATCAGCAGAACGGTTGTTCCAATCGGCACGACGATTGCAGGATGTTCGCGCGCAACTGCCTTAGCGCGTTGTTTTTGCTTGTACGAGTCTTCAGATCCACAGTATGTTTAGAGTGGCGCGCCTCAAGAATGTGATCGATGACATGTCTTCCCACGCAGTAGGAGTGGCTACCGCCATCACTCCAGAGTTGGGCGATTCTGTCAACTTTGTAGCCAATGACGTCCAGAAGGGAGGCCTCCCCATCTCGTGGCAGAAAGCTGGGATCCTGGCCTCGTCGGACCACGTTGCCGAGACCCTGGCGTCGGAACGCGGCTTCAGAGGGGTCAAACGCAGCCACTCCCACAGATGTTTGGGGGGATGCCACAGACGGCTCTAGAAAGCGAGTCACGACGCATCACGCAAAATGTGTGAGCACCAAGGGTGCTGGGACGGTCGCGCACATTATGTCAGGTTACCAGCCGAGAGCCTCGCCAGAACAGCAGAACAATAATCTGACAAAGGAGAAGTTCAACGCATCGTTATGGAGGAAGCGCCGCCCAAGCAGCCCCTGACCTCGCGGTAAGCTGCTTGCCGAAGCAAGCGCGCCGCAAAAATGGGTTTGAGTCTGCCTTCAAATGGCCTCGCCCAGACTGCCAGGGCCTTTCTTATGCCCGAGAAAGATGAAAACCCTTTTAAGACTTACACTTCGAAACCTGGATCCTCGAGCCTCGGTCCTGGGGAGGCGGAGAAGCACTTCATCGCCCACGCGACGATCCTTTCTTTGCGCATTCCTTTTCGAGTCAGCCGAGCAGCGGCGTCGCGGTGCAAGGGCGCGGGCAACCCCGCGCTGGCCCTCTGGGCTCGCCTTTCCCATCGACTCGCCTGCTCTTTCACGCCCCGTCCTGCTGCCATCATTCCACCTCCAGGCCCCATGAGCCTGTTTTTTAATCACGTGCGTGACAGGGGCGGGGGAAGGGGGAATGGGAGGGGGATCGGGGGCGGCCAAGAGGGGGGTGATGACCAGTGGAGGGTGGATGTCATGGCCAGGGCCATGATATCTCCCCAGATTTCAAGGCGCCCACTCTTACTTCAATACGTCCGCCCCCCCCCCCTGGGCCGTGCACGTGCCGCTGGCCATGATTTGCGCCCCCCCCTCTTGGACGACCCCCTCTTGAACGCCCCCGACGGGCCAGTCACGTCACGATCCGCGCAGGCGCCGTCTAGCAATGCCGAGGAATGGCTAGTTCCAGATGGTGCTGGCGCGAACTGTGACGTGACCAGGGGGGAGGGGCGAGTGCGGGGCCGGTCACGGGCGTTAGAGCAAGCAACAACGAAGCGGGCTCCATCTCCGCCATCCTGGACAGCCAGGGCGCTGAAATCAAACCCTTCTGGGCTCAGGAGGAGCTCGGGTTGTGGGGCCGTTTCTTCGAGCTAGGTCGGGGAGCCTATTCGTGGACGGGGCTCGCCGAGGGCAGAGAAGCCGTTCGCTCGCTACTAGCCAGGCGCCCTGCCATCGAACGCTGCAGTGTCGCGCTGCCGCTGCGGCCAGCCACATGGCTGGATCACCTCAGGGATGCGACTTTGAGTTGCGGACTGTGTCCGTTGGATGAGGATAAATTGTCGCACGATGGTTGCAGATCCTGCAGGCCCTGGCTTCTCCTCCGAGGCGGCTGCTGGCAGGGCTTGGGCGCCAGTTCTTGAGGTCCCCATCCCTGCTCCCGCCCTGCCTTCCTCCCGTGCTGGGCGACAAGGGGGGGGCCCAGACATGCCAGTTGAGGAAATCTGCACGGGTTCATTCGACATTGGCAACCGAGTGTTTTGGTGCAGTCCCCGGCCGATTTCGCTTATCGACGTTCGTTTCGCCGGATACATTCAGTTGTTTTTGGACGTCGATTAGTGATTCCGCCGGGGTGCACTCGGAATACGGTGCCGCGCGCACCCGCGTAACGCCCTTGGGCCCCAAAATGGGCACGAACGGTGTGCGTTTCTCGCCCCATTCATCGTCCCCCATGAAGCAACGCCCGACGCTGGCGCATCCCGGCGCCGGGAGGCGCCTGGAAAACCAGCCGCGTGCAGCCGATTCCGCGCCCGCCATTTCAAGTTCCCCCTCTTTCTGTCCGCCCCGATCCTCCGTGGCCCCACCTCCGCCTTCTCATACCTCCGCACGCCCTCCTCCCGACTGCTCGGCATCCCCCGAGGCGGCTGCCGGCGAGGCCGCGCTGGATACGCCCCCCGCCGACGCCGAGCCCCTGGAGGAGCTGGTCTTCTTCTTACTCGCACAGGTAGTGTTGTTGTTGTGTTTAAGTGTCTTCTTCATCGCATTAGTAGTATAGCTTCTCTTCTCACGAACCGCTTGGTATGTGGCATACGTATCATAGTTTGGCGTATGGTTGTGAGTAACGTTACTTCGATGTTTGGTCTAGTTCTTCTTCTGTGGGGAAGAGTAGCCGCGAGCGCGCCAGTCCTTCTCTCTCTCTCCCTCCCCCCTTCCCATATCAGCCCGTCCCCCCTTCCCCCCCTCAGCCAGTCCCCCGCGTTTCCTCCCCTGCCCCCCTTCCGAAGAGGAAGAAGACGGCCTGGACGTAAACTTTCGGAGGTCCGCGCGGATTTTCGTAGATCGGCGCTGGACCTCCTTGGCGCCGCCTCTGGCGCCGCCCCTATCGCGCTTCGCGCGTCATGGAGGAAGATCCGCGCGGGCCTCCGAAATGCTCATGCCGTGTATTGCTTGTTGTTTCTCTGTTGTTTCCCCTCTCTTCGCATCCCCTTCCTTCCCTACTCTCTGCAGTATCCTGTTTCCTCGCCCCACTCGCTCTCAGCCCCCTCCCATCTCACCTCTTTCCCCTTACCCTCGCCTCCACCCCTCCGACTCAAGTACTGACCGCCAGTTGCCCCCCGTGGTGGGTGGGACGCTCGGGAAAAATGTGTCCTCTCAGCGCATCCTTCTGAGTGTCTCTTCCCCTTTTCTTTGCCAGACGTTGAGCCGGGTTCCGAACGAGGACCTCCTCATAGAAGTTGCGACAATGTCTTCAGAAAGGAAGGGGCTCCGTTCCACGGTTCCTCAACTCTGAGCCTGGCCCGATGGGACAGGAGGGGTGCGTGCGCGCCCGAGCGCGTGCTCGGCAAGAGTGGTTGGGAGCCAGAACAAGACAAGGGAAGGGCTGCGTGAAGGGGAGAGGAAGAGGGAGGGGAGGGGGGAAGCGGAAGGGGGAGGGGAGGAGGGAAGGATGGGGCCGGGGGTGGGACTTGGCGTTGGGGAGGGGAGGACTTTGACTGCGAAGCGGGCTACTCCAATTGGGCTGCTGGGTGGTCTGCGGACAAGAAGGCGTTCTGCTGCAAGAAGGAGGATAAGGGCTGCGAGGTCTGGGGGGGCGGGGGGGCGGGATGATCACGTTGTCAGTTTTGTCGCTCTCACCGAACCCCGGTTGGCGGGAAGCGTTCCCGCCCTCTTCAGGGCGAAAGCGTCGACAGTTGAGCTGGTATTGTTTGACAGGACATGTCTTGCTCGGCACATGATGGTCATGCAGGACTCGTCTAGTCTGGACGTGGCATCAGTGTCCCTCGGAACAGGAAAAACTGCGTGAACCAAATTGTTCTGGGGTCCCCGCGCGGATTTCTTGGATCGGCGCTGGACATTCCTCCCCGGCGCATGGATGCGGCATCCAGTGTGCAAGCATCGTGCGAATAGTGCTTGTCCGATTCGGTGTGGAGACTACTGAGTGTAGTCCGTCGAGCTGGGGCGTCGAGTCTGGGCCTCCGACCTTCTGGGCCTCGCCAGCGCACGAAGAGATCGAGGCGTGGTGGAGCTCGGCCTGGGGCCCCGATATAGCAGGAGCGTCGCGTGGGGAGTAGCAGTCGTCGAGGATTCCTGGGTCATGTTTGCTGACGCTTCGCGCATCCCCACCAGCGCCCTGTGCCCCAGCTGCGTCCGCCCCGCTTCTTGGACTTTTCCTTGGAGCCGGCAATCAAAAAGCATCCCCACCAGCATCCCTGGCTTTCCTGCCCAAGGAAACCTGTCCCCCCCCTCATCGGCTCCTCTTTGCCCCGAAGGGGCCAGTTTCACCTCGCCGCGCCCGGCTCAGGCCGTAATACTTGGGGGTAACCAGCGCTGGGGCGTAGGCTAGCCCCACATCTCACCCACGGCGCGGCATAGCTAGACAGCCCACACTGGACAAGTGGACCTACCCTCCTTTTCGGGCCCGACGCGGAGGGTCTCCCCCCCCAGTACCCGACATCTCACCCTCTCGGGCACGGCGGGGCCAGCCCAGCCCGGGCAGACAAGCCCCTGGCTCTTACATTTTGCTGTCCGACGACGACAGCCAACCCGCCCGCCAGAGGCGGGGGGTCGGCCCCTGGACCCCCCCCCTTGCGCGGCGGCGGGCTCGACCTAGCCAGGTCACAGCTTTGGCAAGTACTGACTTCAGCGGCGGTTAGCTGCGACCCTGGAGGACCAACACCCACCATCCCCGGTGAGGCATCACTCTCCGCGGGGACGGACCAACATCCAGTGCAGCCTGAGGTCCACGCAGGACCCCACCCTCTCTCGGCTTCATAACCTTCGAAGGGTCCACCCACCATTTCATTGTCTTGAGCGCGATCAGCTGCGACCCTGGAGGAACCAATAGCCACTTCCCCTGTCCCACGGGTGCGGGGCCAGACCGAGGGGAGGGGCGGCGTTCCCCCCGCCTCTCTCCTCTGGGGCCAGGCGGGTGTCCCCCGCTCTTGGTCCGGGGGCCCGCCTGACGTACTGTCCGACGTTGGTGTTGTTGCCCCCCCTCCCTGGGCCGCCCGTGTCCCTCGCTGTACGTGATTTGTCTCATCACTCAGCGGCGGTCAGCTGCGACCCTGGAGGACCACGCGGTGTTTGTTGACGTTCCGGGAGCTTGGGCGGAAGTGCCAGCGGCGGGCTGGGTCTGATTTTGCGTCCGATGGCCCCCGTGTCTACCATTGTGCAGCTCCCCCCAGGCGCATCGCCCTATGACAACGGCACACCCCGCTCGCACCGGCGCCACGTGCACCGTGAGGTACAGCTCGACCTGTTCTCTTGGGGACCCACCTGCTGTTGTCCTGTTTCGCCGTCACGGCACCATCACCTCCAGTGCAGCTCCCCCTACTCTTCCTCGCTGGCGATGCTGACCACGCCAGCGGGTTTCCCCCCACTCAGTGGCCCCGCCTCGCCGGCACGCGGCGCGTGGCTCACTGTCGCTCGGTTGCCCCCTTGCACTGTGGGGTGGTCTGACAGGGGCTGGCTTTGGTGCAGAGTGGTACAGCCTTCCGCAGCAGGTACAGGCCTACGGGCTCACCTTCAGCTTCCCCAGTTGCGTTGCACCACGGCTCACGACTGCTCAGCCTGTCTGGCTAGCTCAGGTCGTCAGGGCGTTCGGAGCCTGGCGCCCCACTGGCGACTCACTCCAATGGCCTCTTGCTTGCCATCACCCAGCACGACGGACTTGACCATCGTGGTCCCCGTCTCTTCTGTGCGCGCCATGGCAAGCTTCGAATTCCGAGACACTTTGTCCTGTGCACGCGCTCGAGCTTGCAGGGCGCCGTCCGCCGTCAGCTCCACCCCCCTCAGCTCCGCAGCTGCTGTCTGAGTGGGCTGGCTGGCTTGCGCCTGTCTCAGCTAATTCGCCTAGTTCGCGTCCCGGACTTTGCTCTTGCCGCCTGACCGTCGTCTCGCGGCCGCGACCGAAAAAAACATCCCCACCAGCCAGTGCAACCTTGGCCTGCACCCCTCGCTCTTCTCTGGTTCCGTTCGGTGGATATGGTCCGTGGTACGTCGGCCGATTGGACGGCACGCATCGCCGACTGATGTAGGACTTCTGAGGGCACTTATTGCGAAGGCCTTACGGCCGGTGCCGCCGACCCTGAATGGCGACGACGACGACGACGACGACGACGACGACGACGACGAGCGCTCTTGGGGGCCTCTTGGGTGTAGTTTGTGGGCCTCTTGGGAAGCTCTTAGGGGCCGCTTGGAAGCCTCGTGGGGGCCTCTTGGGGTTTCCTGGGGGTCTCTTGGAGGGGGCCTGGGACGTCTTGGAGGCTTCTCGGACGGTCTTGAGGCTATCTTGGGCGTTTTCGGCCGATCTTTGGGCGACTCGGGGCCCTCTTGGGCCGGGGGCCATCTTGGGCATTCGGACCTCATTTGGAGTGTTTTCGAGGTTTCTAGGCCGCCCGAGGAAAAACTAATCTGCCCCCCCACCCCACCCCACCCCACCCCCCCCGGGACCCCCCCCCCCCGTGGGGAAGGGACCAAAGGGAAGGGGCTTCCCTTCGACTCGATTACGACACTGCTAGATTTTTCTCTCGCTCACGAGCTTGAGAAGGAAGCTGCATGGAAAGGGGACGACGGAGGCGACGACCGACGGAGACGACGACTCGAACAGCCAAGCCCCTCGCACACGCCGACAGGGTCGGCGGATTTGAGGCTGGCCTACGTGGTGTGGTCACAGGATTCGTTCTTGACGACGACGGTGGTGCCCATGCCCCTCATTCGGCCAATGCCGTCTCGTAGCCGAGAACAAGTTCGCTGAGGACAAGTTCGTTGAGAAGAAGGTCGCTGAGTACAAGTTCGCTGAAGACAAGTTTGCTGAGGGCCACTCCTCGGCACTCGGGCTTGGCAGTCCTTACCGCCTGAGCGTGCTGCTTGCTCGTCGCTTCTGTCTCTGGCCGCGGCAGTTAGGCTTGCTTGACCCTTGTGACGGCGCGCGGCTCTCCCGGTTGCGCTCGCGAACCAAAAAAAGTATCCCCACCATCTTTGGCACTCGCACGTTTGCAGTTTCCGGGCAGCCCCTGCAGCTTGCAGTGCCCGCCTTCGGCGCAGCTCAGCCCCGGCGCAGCTGCTTCCCCCAGCGGCAGGTCTAGCCTAGCTCGGCGCGCGCGCCAGCAATTAGGTTCGCTCGTAGCCCGAGCCAACTCTGCTTCTGCTGCCGGCGCCTTCGCCTGCGGCCGCGACAAGAAAATCCCCACCGGCCCGTCCAGCAAAGATGTTCGTGAGGGAGTTGGTTGGATGAGGAGGTTGAAGGAGGGGAAGAGGATGAGGAGAACGAGGAGGAGAGGAGGGGAAGAGGATGAGGAGAACGAGGAGGAGCAGGAAGAGGAAGAGGATGAAGAGGAGGAGGAGGAGGAGGAGAAGGAAGGATGGAGAAGTCGGAGGAAGAAGGGGAGAGGAGGAGGACGACGAGGAGGATGCGTTAGTGGACCTTTTGTTGTGAGAGCCTCTTGGAGCACTCTTGTGCTTAGCTTGGGCTCTTGATGGGGCCCTTTTGGGGTCCTTGTAGGACTGCCTCGGGGCTGTCTTGGGGCTGTGTTGGTGCCCTCTTGGGGCTCTTTGGGAAGGTTTTTGGGACTTCTGGGGGTTTCTTGAAGGGGGGGGGAGGGGGGCAACCCGGGCCCCCATCCGGAGGGGCATCTTGCAGCGCACTTGAGAATTTGTTGGACCGTTTTGGGGCCTTTTGGGGCTTTTTCTTGGGGTTTCCTTTGGGGTTGTTTGAACACCTCAGAGGCCCACCGGCGGCGAAACAGCGGAAAAAAAGGCACGCATCGTTGGTTTTCTCGGGCTCCTTGGGGGTAGTCTTTGGGGGCCCAGGGCGCGAGGAGCACATGGAGCCCTTTTGTAGCCTCTGCGACGTGTTGCGTCGCGCCCGATCGAAACAGTCGGCCCTAAGCAGATTTCGGCTGAAAAGAAACGCGCCGTCAGAAATGCACGTCGTCGAACCACTGGCGCCGTGGCCGGCCGCTTGCACGATGCGGCCAGCTGCTGTTCAGCGCCGCAAATGCAACAGGGGATTTGCCGTGCGACGCGACGCGCTGCGGAACATCAGTCGACTCAACATGTGTAGTTTGCGTTGTGACGCAACCGAAGTAGCACAACGTAGTGCAGGAGTCTGGCAGACTCAAGCCTCTGTCTCATTCTACGGCCGGCATCCTCCCACGAATCGCTATCCTCGAACACCCAGCCGATTCGACGACAAGCTGGAGCAATTTCCTTTGTGTCATGTCTAGATGATCCAACCGCTTCTGATCCTGCGCACCAGCTTCCAGCCCGTACACCAGCGTAGGCGCGCTGGTCTCGTTGAAAGGTTTCAGGCGTAGTTTGACGTCGACGCGATTGTTCAATAGCGGTGTCCGCAGCGACCTGAATTTCAACCATGCGCAATAGACAATGGTAAAGAGCAGCTTGTCCGCGTTGTCGGAGGTTGCCCAGCCACGCCCTCCCGAGAGATTCGCGGTTTCTGGTTACAGCCACAAGTTCCACGAACCCATCGGTGGATTCTATCAGAACAGTGTCATTACCCGTGACCGTCGTCGACATCGTCTTCGTTACCTTCAGGTTGAATTCCCAACCATAACGGCGAAGTATCTGCGTGAGCATGTCCAGCATGTCCACGGTCCTCTTCCACGCTGCTGGCGAATAGCAGCAAGTCGCCTGCAGACCGAATGTCGGACAACCGCTCCGTTCTGCCGCCCGATCACAAGGCCCAGCCATGGCCGTTCAGCTTCACCTACCACTCGCGGACAGCAGTTTCCCAGATACTGTTGAACAGGAGCGGTGATAACACGTCGCCCTGTCTGACGCCACGGGCGATAGGAAAACGGAAACCATCACCCACGATTCCAGGGTGGTTTGCACAGTGTGCGCAATCTTTTGCAGCATCAAGAGGGGAGCCCCCGCGCTCTGAGAGCGCGGAACAGTGCCGGCTGCTCCACCCGGTCAAGTGCTGTGCGCAGATCCATGCTGATTAGCCAGAGGTTTGTGTTAAATTCGAGGCTCTTGCTCATGAGACGTTCGGCGACGATCAGAGTGTCAGCAATCAACCGGTCTGTTTGGAAACCATATTGTTCTTCAGAGTGTTGTGAATCTAGGATACCACATATATTCCGCAAAGCACGCGAGCATGAATTTTGCAAGAGACGTTCAGGATCGGGATCGGCCTCCAAGTGTTCGGGCATATGGCGTCTCCGCCTTTGCGCAAAAGTTTGAAGAAGGAATGGCGCCAGTCAGCTGGCCCTCAACCTCTTTGCAGATCTGCGCTGATCATGTCTGCCAAGTAGTGCAAAAGATCGTCGCCGCCATAGAAGAGCAACTCTAGCATCATCCCCTTTGTGTCTGCAGCTTTGTGTCGTCTCATCGCTTTGACTGCCGCAGCCACCTCATCGACAGAAACGTCTGGTACCTGGTCGCTCTCGTCCAGTTCGCCCGTGTCCAGCGGCACGCTGGACATGTATGTCGCAGACAGAAGATCAGCACATTTGCGACAATCCGGCCTCTGTTGCAACGAGCTTCCTACGGAAAAAAATATTTGCGGTGCGTCCAGGCGACGAAGGTCACTGAAGCTTGCGAACACCTCGGTTGTTCTCGCCGTCTGACGCGCGCGTGATTCTTTTCAGTTCAACCTCCAGATCTCCTCTGAGATATGACGTCTCTCGGCCGGGTCGATCCCGCATCTCCTCCTTCTCTGGAGACGTTCCAAATGTTTGTTCCCGTTGCTCTGGTAGGTGTGTAACCGGGACCGGTTCGACTCTCCAGCTGCAGGAAGGGCGATGTGTTTCATGTCGCCCAGAGTTGCCGGAGGGAAACTCCTGGCGGCATGCATTTCACAATCAGTGTCATTGTGCGTTTGCTGGTACTTCTGTCGAACCCTCGCCCCAGCAGCCGCCGGAATTTGAAAGCACGTTTGCACCACTTTCTGATCTGAACCGAGGTCAACGATGTTTGCCGATCTTGCGTTGTGGAAAGACACGCAGCTGCTCACCATGATGTAATCTAGACGCGGAGTCGCCCGATGCAGCTGCGGAAAGTCCACTGGCGTCCTGAAAGCTCATTCTCGACAACGTTACAATCGGGGAAACGTAAGACTCGAGTAGGCCGGAGCTCGGATTTGCCGATTTTTTTTTTACGAGCGCGTCCTGGATTTTGACGGTCCGGTTTTTATGGGATGTTTGCAGCGGGAGTTCGTGTCAAATTTCAGATTGGGTCTCGTCATTTTCATGATGGCTCCGTCAGGCCAACCCGAGTCCCCCGTATCCGAGTCTTACGTCCACCCGATACAAATCACAAGATCTAGTTCGACAGCCAAAGCCAATAGCATCGCACTCATCCTACCTTTTCCGACCTCGGTGTCGAAGCCACTTCCCAGCACACTCCAATAATTATGGCCCTGCGCTTGAGAACAACAAGGCGAGATCGCTCAAGCATTCTGTGAAATCGTCGTGCGGGTAGCGGGAGTGAGGCACGTAGACGGCTATCTATGTGTAGGTGCATCTCCCAACGCGCATGACGCAATGTAGAATTATGCCCGAAATCGTTTTGCATTTGAGATTTTTGTCGACAGAGCTGAATCGAAAATTCTGTGGGCCCGGCGGGAGTCGAAACTCTTCGACGCATGTCTGAGAAATCAACCTGTTGTGCGCTGTCTTGCGCCACCTTGGCAATCATCATCGTAAGCTATGCGAGGCCAGATTGGTGCAATCTTCGGTCAAAAGAAAACCCTCTCACCCCTCGCGACCCTCCCTCCTGCCCAGGTCCAAGAAAGTGGGCATGGGGAGGGATAAGCCCTTTCGCCGAATAGGGGATCAAATGGTTCTGGAAGGGGAAAGAACAAAACCTTTATACCACATGCGAACCGAGGGCTGGTGGGATTCAACAAAATGCGTGTTCCCCTAAGCATTGCCATTGTAGTCAAAGACAACGCATGTAACTTGTCCTGCTTTTTTGTCCGAAGGATTTTGTGGGTATCTTGGAGGTGTCTCGGGGACCTCTGGAAGGTTTCTGTGGGCCGATTGCGTGTCTCAGGCGTTTTGGGGGGCTCTCTTGAAACAGTCCGGATTGCTTTGACGATTGACTGGAGCCATCTCGGCCCGTTCGCGTGCTGTCCTGGTTCAATCTAGGCCATCCAGGGGCTTTATCGCGGTGGCATTCTTACGATGTTGTTGGAGCCTCACTGGGGCTGCCTTTCTGGGCTTGGACCGTCACTCATCATCCTCAGCTCTGTTTTCCAGCGTGCTTGCTCGTGTGGTGACCAGCTACAGGTTATTCTACCTAGACGCGGGACTGCCACAGACTCGAGTGATGAATTTTGCCTCGTCGTTGCCTTGCTCTTTCGCTTTCCAGGGAGCTCAATCAAAAAACGAATGACAAAATAAGCTCTGTACTCTCTGCTGCCGCCGCCGGTGCGGGAGCTCGCTGAGCATCTACATTTAGTTGATGCGTGCGTCGGCCTCCTCTTGCCGGATGAGGAGACGGAGGGGCACCGCAACCGAGCGCGTTTGCGCATGTGGCCACGTCGCCCATTGTTGAACAACATGCTCGACAGTTGAGCCATGCAGACAGCATGCCATGTTCCCGGCTCTGTCTGTAATGGCCCTGCACGGCTGGATTAGTCGACCAACATTGAGGGATTACGTATTCAAAGATGGGAGGCCCAGGGCTTGTTGATTTGTCCGTGTTGACGTCATGTGTTGGGGCAATGTTTCCGTGCTCTTGCACGCACACCATTAGTACGTAGCCAGGTCGGCTCATAAGGGCGCCGAGAGAGACGAAACGTAAGACCCATGCTTTCAAAATTGCATCGGCATGTTTCCATCGTCTGCTGTGATCGTCGTAGCTTGATCGTTGCGTGGTGCCTTAGTGTTCTGTGCCAAATAAGCCTACAGATGTGGCTCCCAGTTCAGGGGCAGTGCGAAGCAATCTGCCGCTCGTCATTTATTGGGACGCGATTCGCAGTCCAGGTTTATCTCTGTCCTGAGTTTTGTGGCCCAGCCCGTCCCAGACCAGCCCTCTGTCTTGGTGCCCGCCGATTCCGGTCGCCGCCGCTGGCCCCGACCAGCCCAGATCAGCCCCCAGCCTGGTTCCCAAGCGTGTACGTGCGTACGCACGCGGTCGCCGAACATTGCCCGCACCGATTGGTCATTATTCTGACCGTTGGCGCTTGCAATGCGTTTGCCAGGAGTCTGGAGCGGGGACGTCTTCGCCCGCCAGGTCTCAGATCTTCTTTCGCTCTTCCTCAACTCGGGGCCGCGTTAGGTTGGCAAGGAGGCGCGCACGTATACGGCGGACGACTTGTAGAAGGAGCAGCGGGAGGGGAGGGGAGTGGAGGGAAGGGGCTGGCAGGCAAAGGAGGACTTCGATTGCGAAGCGGGCTACTCCAACTGGGCTGCGGGGTGGTCTGCAGACAAGAAGGTGTTCTGCTGCAAGACAGAACAAAAGGGCTGCGAGGCTTGGGGGGGATCGCCAAGACATCTCAGATGTTGTTCAGTCGATGCGGTTTCTGGGACCTGGCCGATCTGAGCGCTCTTTCCTTCGCTTTAAAACTCTCTTCGAGCCCCAGCCGACGGAAAGCGTCGTCGGCTCCGCCGTGCCTCCCAGGAGCCCACGAGTGTGACGACAGGTGCGCAGTTCGCATCCATCCAGGAGCCCACGAGAGTGTCGACAGTTGCACAGTTCGCAGCCAGCCAGGGAGGTCTCGGGTACTCCGCGACTCCGCCGTGCCCCCCAGGAGCCCACGAATGTGGCGACAATTGCACAGTTCGCAGCCATCCATGGAGCTGTGAGGTCTTGGGTACTCCCTAACTCCGCCGTGCCTCCCAGGAGCCCACGAGAGTGGCAACAGTTGCACAGTTCGCAGCCATCCAGGGAGGTTTCGGATACTCCTTCCGCCGTGCCTCCCAGGAGCCCACGAAAGTGGCGACAGTTGCACAGAGCGCAGTCATCAAGGGAGCTGCGAGGTCTCGGGTATTCCGTAGCTCCGCCGTGCTTCCCAGGAGCCCACGAGAGTGACGACAGTTGCGCAGTTCGCAGCCATCAAGGGAGCTGCGAGGTCTCGGGTGCTCCCCTGCTCCGCCGTGCCTCCCAGGAGCCCACGAGAGCGGCGACACTTGCACAGTTCGCAGCCATCCAGGGAGGTTTCGGGTACTCCGCGACTCCGCCGTGCCTCCAAGGAGCCCACGAAAGTGACGACAGTTGCACAGTTCGCAGCCACCCAGGGAGCTGCGAGGTCTCGGGTACTCCCTAACTCCGCCGTGCCTTCCCACGAGAATGGCGACAGTTGCGCAGTTCGCACCCACCCTGGGAGCTGCCAGGTCCCACGGACTCCCCTGCTCCGCCGTGCCTCCCAGGAGCCCACGAATGTGGCGACACTTGCACAGTTCGCAGCCATCCAGGGAGGTCTCGGGTACTCCGCGACTCCGCCGTGCTTCCCAGGAGCCCACGGTAGTGGCGACAGTTGCAGAGTCCGCAGCCATCCAGGGACTTGCGAGGTCTCGCGCGCTTCCTAACTCAGCCGTGCCTCCCATGAGCCCACGAGAGTAACGACAGTTTGCGCAGTTCGCACCCATCCAGGGAGCTGCGTGGTCTCCAGTTCGCACCCATCCAGGGAGCTGCTCCGCCGTGCCTCCCACGAGCCAACGAAAGTGGCGATTGCTGCTCGCAGCCATCCAGGGAGGTCTGGGGTACTCCGCGACTCCGCCGTGCCCCCCAGGAGCCCACGAATGTGGCGACACTTGCACAGTTCGCAGCCACCCAGGGACCTGCGAGGTCTCGGGCGTTCCCCTAGCTCCGCCGTGCCTCCCAGGAGCCCACGAGAGCGACGACAGTTGCGCACGCAGTTCGCAGCCAGCCACGGAGTTGCGAGGTCTCGGGTATTCCCCTGCTCCGCCGTGCCTCCCAGGAGCCCACGAGAGTGGCGACAGTTGCACAGTTCGCGGCCATCCAGGGACCTGCAAGGTCTCGGGCGCTCCCTAACTCAGCCGTGCCTCCCAGGAGCACTAGAGTGACAGTTTGCGCAGTTCGTTGCCATCCAGGCAGCTGCGTGGTCTCCCGTGCTGCCCTGCTCCGCCGTGCCTCCCAGGAGCCCACGAAAGTGGCGACGGTTGCACAGTTCGCAGCCATCCAGGGAGGTTTAGGGTACTCCGCGACTCCGCCGTGCCTCCCAGGAGCCCATGACAGTGGCGCCAGTTGCACAATTCGCAGCCATCCAGGGAGCTGCGAGGTTTCCAGCGCTCCCGAAAACCGCCGTGCCTCCCAGGAGCCCACGAGAGTGGCAACAATTGGCAGTTCGCACCCACCCTGGGAGCTGCGAGGTCTCGGGTACTCGCTAATTCCGCCGTGCCTCCCGGGAACCAACGAGAATGACGACAGTTGTGCAGTTCGCAGCCATCCCGGGAGGTTTCGGGTACTCCGCCACCCCGTGTCTCCCAGGAGCCCACGAGAGTGGCAACAGTTGCACAGTTCGCAGCCAGCCAGGGAGTTGCGAGGTCACCGACACTCCACTGCTCCGCCGTGTCTCCCAGGAGCCCACGAGAGTGTCGACAGTTGCACAGTTCGCAGCCAGCCAGGGAGCTGCGAGGTCACCGATACTCCACTGCTCCGCCATGTCTCCCAGGAGCCCACGAGAGTGTCGACAGTTGCACAGTCCGCAGCCAGCCAGGGAGCTGCGAGGTCACCGATACTCCACTGCTCCGCCGTGTCTCCCAGGAGCCCACGAGAGTGTCGACAGTTGCACAGTTCGCAGCCAGCCAGGGAGCTGCGAGGTCACCGATACTCCACTGCTCCGCCGTGTCTCCCAGGAGCCCACGAGAGTGTCGACAGCTGCGCAGTTCGCAGCCACCGAGGGAGCTGCGAGGTTTTGGGTACTCCGCGATTCCGCCGTGCCTCCCAGGAGCCCACGAGAGCGACGACAGTTGCGCAGTTCGCAGCCAGTCAGGGAGCTGCGAGGTCCCAGGCATTCCCCTGCTCCGCCGTGTCTCCCAGGAGCCAACGAAAGTGGCGACAGCTGCACAGTGCGCAGCCATCCAGGGAGGTTTCGGGTACTCCTCTGCTTCCGCCGTGCTTCCGCCGAGCTGCGAGGTCTCCGGTACTCCCCTGTTCCGCCGTGCCTCCCATAACCCACGAGGGTAGCGGCAGGTGCACAGTTCGCAGCCATCCAGGGAGGTCTCGGGTACTCCGCGACCCCGCCGTGCCTCCCAGGAGCCCACGAAAGTGGCGACAGTTGCACAGATCGCAGACATCCAGGGAGGTCTCGGGTACTCCGCGACTCCGCCGTGCTTCCCAGGAGCCCACGAGATTGACGACAGTTGGGCAGTTCGCACCCGTCCAGGGAGCTGCGAGGTCTCGGGTACTCCCCTGCTCCGCCGTGCTCCCAAGGAGCCCAGGAGGGTGGCGACAGTTGCACAGTGCGCAGCCATCCAGCGAGGTCTCGGATACTCCCTAACTCGCCAGTGCTTCCCAGGAGCCCACGACAGCGGCGACAGTTTCGCAGTTCGCCGCGAGCCACGGGGCTGCGAGGCCTCGGGTACTACCTAACTCCGGCGTGCCTGCCAGGAGCCCACGAGAGCGGCGACAGCTGCACAGTTCGCAGCCATCCAGGGAGGTTTCGGGTATTCCGCGACTCCGCCGTGCCTCCCAGGAGCCCACGAAGTCACGACAGTTGCACAGTTCGCAGCCATCCAGAGACTTGCGAGGTCTCGGGTGCTCCGCGATTACGCCGTGCCTCCCAGGAGCCCACTCGAGTGACGACAGTTGCGCAGTTCGCACCCATTCAGGGAGCTGCGAGGTCTCGCACACTCTCCGAGGAGCCCACGAGAGTGGCGACAGCTGCACAGCTCGCAGCCATCCAGGGCACTCTCCTGCTCCGCCATGCCTCCCAGGAGCCCACCAGAGTGACGACCGTTGCCCAGTTTGCAGCCATCCAGGGAGCTGCTCCGCCGTGCCTCCCAGGAGCCCACGAAAGTGGCGACAGTTGTACAGTTCGCAGCCATCCAGTGGAGGTCTCGGGTACTCCGCGACTTCGCTGTGCCTCCCAGGAGCCCACGAGAGTGACGACAGTTGCACAGTTCGCAGCCATCTAGGGAGTTGCGAGGTCTCGTGCACTCCCCTGCTCCGCCGTGCTTCCCAGGAGCCCAAGAGAGCGGCGACAGCTGCACAGGTCGCAGCCAGCCAGGGAGGTCCCAGGCACTCCGCGACTTCGTGGTGCCTCCCAGGAGCCCACGAAAGTGGCGACAGTTGCACAGGTCGCAGCCACCCAGAAATACGAAGTCTCGGGTACTCCCTAACTCCGCCGTGCCTCCCAGGAGCCCACGAGAGCGACGACAGCTGCGCAGTTCGCAGTGGATGGGAGTTGCGAGGTCTTGGGTACTCCTCTGTTCCGCCGTGTCCCCCAGGAGCCCACGAGAGTGGCGACAGTTGCACAGCTCGCAGCCATCCAGGGAGGTCTTGGGCACTCCCTAACTCCGCCGTGCCTTCCACGAGACTGGCGACAGTTTCACAGTTCGCAGCCACCCAGGGAGCTGCGAGGCCTCGGGTACTCCGCGATTACGCCGTGCCTCCCAGGAGCCCACGAGTGTGACGACAGGTGCGCAGTTCGCATCCATCCAGGGAGCTGCGAGGTCTCCTCGTGCACTCCCCTGCTCCGCCGTGCCTCCCAGGAGCCAACGAAAGTGGCGAGGCCAACGAAAGTGGCGAGAGCTGCACAGGTCGCAGCCATCCGGGGAGGTCTCGGGTATTCCGCGACTCCGCGGTGCCTCCCAGGAGCCCACGAAAGTGGCGACAGTTGCACAGTTCGCAGCCACCCAGGGAGCTGCGAGGTCTCGGGTACTCCCTAATTCCGCCGTGCCTCCCAGGAGCCCACGAGAGTGACGACAGTTGCACAGTTCGCAGCCACCCAGGGAGCTGAGGGGTCTCGGGTACTCCCTTGTTCCGCCGTGCCTCCCAGGAGCCCACGAGAGAGGCGACAGGTTGCGCAGTTCGCAGCCATCCAGGGAAGTCCCAGGTATTCCGCGACTCCCCCGTGCCTCCCAGGAGCCCACGAGAACGACGACAGTTGCGCAGGTCGCAGCCATCCAGGGACCTGCGAGGTCTCGGGCACTCCGCTGTTCCGCCGTGCCTCCCAAAAGCCCACAAGATTGTCCACCGAGGTCTCGGATACTCGGCGACCCCGCCGTGCCTCCGAGGAGCCCACGAGAGTGGCGACAGCTGCACAGCTCGCAGCCACCGAGGGAGCTGCGAGGTTTCGGGTACTCCCTAACTCCGGCGTGCCTCCCAGGAGCTCATGAGAGGGACGACAGTTGCGCAATTCGCAGCCGTCCAGGGAGCTGCGAGGTCTCGGGTAATCCCTTGCTCTGCCGTTTTTCCCAGGAGACCACGAGAGTGGGCACGGTTGCACTGTTCGCAGCCATCCAGGGAGATCTCGGGTATTCCGCGACTCCGCGGTGCCTCCCAGG